AAATTGGTCACACATCGACTTACAGACAGGAATGCCGATGCATCAGCATCGTCCTCTCCATCTCCATCTCCATCTCCATCATCAGTGATCGACAGCGCATGCCTCAGCAGTAAAAGAGCCATTAACTGCAGAATAAGAAACCACATATATTTTTTATAAGCATTTTAATGCAGTGTTTATAATAGAAATATATTTTTACTGCATTTAGTGTCTTACGATTAGTGCAGCCGAGCGGCAAAAGGCGGCACCACTACTATTGGTGCCGTTATAATCATCATAGTCTGCTTCAAACAACTGACGTTCGGCCTCGGTTATTGCCACCAGACGAGGGTCGTTCATGTCCAGTGGTGTCCCCGAAATTTGCCACACTCCCCTTGAAAAACAGATAATTACAAAACTAATCAGAACTAAACCTACAATGACGGCCACAGATATTTAGACTGGAGAAAGAAATGAGCAAAAGAAAAGGTTTTAACTTCAAAACTAGGAATAATTACATAAGTACCCAATGGTTTGAGGTAATTAAAATATGAACAGTTCTAAAACTACCCGAAAAGGAAAAAGAAAGAAACGCGAAAAAAATCAATAACTGTATATTACATTTTTGTGAAACCCTAGTTCGGAAGCATCACTACTGAGTACAAAAAGACTTAATTGTGATACAGAAAAAACAACTGTTTACCCAATATCAATTGTAGTCTCATCAGTAGGAGGACGTGGAATAGCTGTGTAACCAGGCTGATATTGCTGCATGACAAAGTAAAAGATGTTGAACAGTTTAGTCTTTATGAGAGTTATTTCAAACACAATCACTATGTGTATATAATGATATTTTCCCAGAGCGTATGTTGATAGTATTGATTGATTCACATGCATCCAATAGCATAAACCACAAGTAAAAAAGACGTGTAAGGCATTAGTTTTGTATTGCTCAATCTTTCTCTGTTATCTTTTTCCGTTTGTCATAAACAAGCACCGTTGTACACAAACCAAAGGTGAACAATGATGTTTTTAGGTTAACTTAAAACTCTTCCAGATGTTAAATGCTTACAACAAATTATGCTGGATAACAGGTTTCTGAGAAGCCACCACTTACAATTAAGAGATTTAACTAAAAACATTACTGACACAACCCAGATTGAATTATGTTACTTACAAACAAAAAACACTCCCACCAATAAATGATCTACTGAATTTGTAACTGATACCCCAACTTCCTTTGATGAGAGGAAAAATATAACAATGATATAGGAATGTCTCAAACCATCATCATATATGTACTGAACTCGACGAATGGGAACAAAATTATCTAACTTTGATCCATTTCTTGAAAATAAATACCGAAGGGATAAAGCTAAAAGAGCACTAAGTCAGATACCTGATGGCAGATCTCACAGGTTATGTCTCCCTTCTCATTGCACCAGTGCTGTACACATTTTCTGTGGGCATACTGAAAAGTAATATGTCTCAGTAAAATAGAAAACCAGGCAATTTGTAAAAATGATTGTCCTGAACAAAACAGGAGGGTGGGGGCCAAGAAGAAAGACAAAGGTTAGCCAAATGTTGAACAGATCATACGTGTAAGTTGTAACCCTAATATTCCTGTGCACTTCAGCCATGTAAAGGGAACAGAGTAGTTTTAATTAACATTTTGCATCGAGTATTCATATTGGGCACCCAATTCTCGATGATATAAAGGTTCCCTGTGCATTTGTTCAGCATAACCCTGTGGCATGAATTCTACAACAAGTCATCAAAAGATAAGCTCCTTAAATCAAAGACTAACAGAGCTTAAAAGAGCCAATTAAACGCTTTCCATCAATACTTCAAGCTATATGTATTTATATACCAACTGCAAAAAATTATAGCATCTTCCTGAACAGATACCTCCTTGCATAGTAATTCCATTTTCAGCATAAAACATAAATAATAAAACAAATCAAGATGTTCAGGCATCTCCATTTTATCATCTTAAAGATTCCTCACCAGCAAAACCCTTTTCTTAAAAACACCAAACACAAAGCTACTACAAAACAAATAACACGAACAAACATCAACCAATATAGACAGACATAAAAGATTCCTCAGTATAAGCATTTTTAGTTTTACCTTAAGACTCCCACTGCAAGCACAAGGACTCTCCAAGTTTTTGAAAGAATCCTCTTCTTGGCAAATACGGCACTCTCCCAACCCTATTAGAGGTGCTTGTTCATCCTCCTCTTCATGCTCCACCACCATCATCACTTTATCATTATCTGCCGTCATTGACGAAGAGGACCCGACCATCTCAGGCTTCTTTCCAGTAGGTTCAACCACCTCAGGTTTTAGCAGTTGACTCACATTCACAACAGTATGCTCGCCCATTTTTCACACTAATTTAAACCAATAAACCACCTAGGGAACAAAAACAAGCTATAAGAATCCCAAACAAAAAACGAGCATAAACCTCCCTTTCCCCTTATTTATGCAAATAGCAGAAAGCTATGATCTTTTGACCTCAAAATTACAATCCAGTAGGTCTTCACTTCTTCGTTATTTACAAGGCTAGGATATTTTTCGCCTCAACATTCGCAATTACCACATGTTATAATGAATGTTGAGAACGGAAATTAAAAACCCCTTTCAACAGATAAAGAACCCTGAATTCCCTAACGCATGAACCCAAAAATATTAATCTTTAAGGAAAAATTCGAACTGCAAAGCCCTAACACAAAAAAAAAATAAAAAATAAAATAAAAAATAAAAAATCAATGGTATCTCATTAAAGTCTTAAATTTTGAAAAATTTAACGGGACTCGCTGGTATACGAATGTTATCTCATGAAAGTCTTAAATTTTGAAAAATTCAACTGGTCTCGCTGGTATATGCAGCGGGATCAGAGAATATCTTCCTTAGATAACTGAAACCAAGAAGGTCAATATCTGATTCGAACAGAAATTAAATGAAGAAAAACACAAGGAAAAGTAACACAATTAATGTGAAAGGATGATGAACAAAAAAAGGAAGAATAAAGTACCTGAAGAATAAACTAAGAAAAGGAGAATAAGAAATAGCGAATTTGCAGCGCAGCCAAGAAAATCTTAAAGGAAAATAAAATTTGTAATTTGATTTTTCAGCTGGGTTTCTGTGTGTACGCGTTTGGTTAGGATTTTGATTCTTTTTCTTCTGTTCGGTTAATATCGACTTTTAATAAGCTCCCAAAATCAGGGTGTATAATATTTTCCAACTTATACTATATTATATTTTTAGAATTTTCAACTTAAAGTAATTTTTCTTTGTAATGAAACATGAAATACATCGGTTTTGTTATGAAGCCAACAATTGGCTCCATAGTGGAGCCAACCTTTTATATACAATAAATAAACTTACTATATTAATAAAATTATATTAATGTTATTTAAGTAATTAGAGAATATGATATGTTTACTTGTTGTATATAGAATGTTGGCTTCATAGCAAAACCGTGAAATACATATACAGTCACTATTTGTACACTCGACCACATCTTGACCATACACGTGATCCTTTTTTGCAGATTATCGGACGTAGGGGTGAGCAAAACCGAGCCAAAAACGAAAAACCGAAACGAACCAATGTATTTGGTGCGGTTCGGTTCGGTTCGGTTTTTTGTGCAGTTAAACTTTTGAAAAACCGCACAAAGTTCGATGCGGTTCGGTTTTTTATCCTAATGATGCGGTTTTAACCGAACCGCACCGAATATGGTTTATTTTTATATATATTTTACAAATATTGTTAACATGTTTTTATTGTACATATACATGCTCATTTTGGGCATTTGGTTTGGGATGACTAACCTTAACAATAAATAAGTAAAGTAATAAATAATAACAATAACAATTAAAAATTAATAACATCACATTAAAATCTAATTTCTTGCCTTAGTTTTTCACTTTCTGTTCAAATCTTGGGCTTTGGTTTGGTAATGTTGCACATTAGATGATGATGATGTAGCTTCATATTCATTTATTTATTTATTTATTTTATGTAGCTTCAATTTAATGAAAATTAAATTAGCTGTTAATATTAATTAGAAAAATAAAATTATTTAAATCAATTTAACTATAAAGTTGTTAATGATAGATTTTTAAAAAATATATTATAATATAAGACGGTAAGCCATATAAGTGATGCGGATTATTTTAAATATAAATAGTAGTATAGATATTCAAAAATATATTTAAAAATTAAAACAAATTTTTTATTATTATTTTAACTTTAAATAAAAATTTCTTAACAAACATGGGTGTAATACACGGGGATTATACTAGTATATATATAATGCTAGGTTATTCAATCAATGCAAACTTTTTGTCTATTTTTAAGTAAATTGTGATAAATCGTTCCATTTTATATTAATTAAATGTAATCATATTCTATTTATTATTCTATAATATAATAGTTATTACAAAAATCAACTAATTATAACCAACACTATATTGTATATGAAAGTTACATAAGTGTAAAATAATAATTTCAATAATAATAATAATAACTTAATATTTTTCTATTACTTAATTGACCATCATGCCTTAATATTACAAACAAATATATTATCTCATTACATTTTATGCAATTAATAACAGTGACTCGTTTATAGTTAAATAGTTTATATTGTATTGTTCATTTACTCATGATCAAATTTGTATATGATAGTTTACTAATAAAATTTAATTTGCAATATTATATCTATATGTATAATTTATAACACTTTATTTACATCTGTTTCGTTTGGGATGGTGGCTTCTCTCTCTTTTTCATTTTCCATTGATTACACAAGTTGACTATAAAAAAATATGAATTAATTAATTATTTTATAGAGCATTAATTTCGTATTGATACTACAGTACTAGCTTCCTAATCCTAGCCTAACATTTCAAATGGTCAGGAATTTAATGAGAAAAGGGAAAATCTGTGAATATATGAATGGCTATCTTTAGGTATAAAATTATTTTCTGCCATCCGATTTTTATGCAGTATTCGGGTATGTGATAAAGAAGTAGGTGTAAACTAAATACAAATATATTCAACTCGTNAAAAAAAAAAACCCAAACCCTAGCCTTCTTCATCTGAATCGCGTGGCCTTCTTCGGCGGCGGTGCGGCGCAGGCCAGTGGTCGCGCTCGACCGCCGCCCCTCCTCTGCCGTCCCGGAACTCTGGAGTTGCCGCTGTGAGCTGAAGCTTGACGGTCTGCCCAACCCTTATTCGCCGGTGTTCTTGTTCTTGCGATTGGAGGTGGCGAGATCTATGGTCGCCGATTGGCCTACAATTGGTGGGTCTTTTGCCCGTCGGTCTTGATTGAAGGTGAGTCTACCTCTAATTTTGGCTTCTCTGTAAATTTCGGTGCGATATGAGGGCCCTTTTGGACGGTCCGTCTTTTTCCGGCGAAGCCCCTTTTTGGAGGGGTTTTTCACATCCTACTGCCGGTGGTAAGCGGCGATAATAGTTGGTCTGTGGGTCGAGAGGAGGGGCGGGGCTCTGATGGTGTGTCGGAGTCGAGGGCCCGAGCCGCCCCCCTACTTTGTCTAGTGGTGTTAGACGGTGGGATTCTGGTGCTCCGATGCTCGGCTAGTGGTGTTAGGCGTGCTCGGGAGGTGCTAGAGTGGGTGCGTGTTTGGTTGTCCTTCCGGTTGAGGCGGGTCGTTTTGGAGTGTGGTTTGCGTTCGGGCTCGACTTCTTGTATAGGCCTTGTGGCAGTTTCGGGAGCCGTCCCTGGACTTAGATTATCCTCTGATATTGATTGTTCTCTGCTGGTTCGAGCTGACTGACTTGCTGTGGAAGGGCTTTTTTATTTAGCTGTGTTTTTCCTTTTTTGGTTTTGTTGTAGTTTGGTTTGTTGTTCTTGTTTAGTGTGTTTGTATCTGTGTTTGTGTTTGTCGTTGTGTTTTAGGTCTGGGCCGTTGGCCTCTGTGCACCCGAGTGTCATTTTCATTACTCTGTGGGGGTCCGACACTCGGGCATTACCCTGTGGGGGTCTTGTGTTGTTTTTTTGTCGTTGTTTTGTGTGTTTGTTTTTAGTGTGTTGGCGAGTATTCTAGCATTGCTAGTTTTCGGATCTAGGCGGTCTTCGGACCTGTCCTCCCAGTTTTCTCAGTCGTCGGTTGTATTATTCAGCTAATGGCTGTACCTTTGCACATTTGTGCGCTTATATATAAATCCTCTATCGTTTCGAAAAGTAGGTGTAATGACGAAGAAGTAACGAAATTATGTTTTATTTTGTAAACTAAATCAACATTGAATAATCAAGAACAACAAATCTTAAGTTTGACATTTTTAGCCACATTTATAAAATACATATGTATTTAAAATCTACTAGTATTCGACTCTGTGCATTTACACAGATGTAAATAAAATTAAATATTATAAGTTATAGTTATGTATATGATATAAAAATTATAAGTTATATAATTGTATTATATTTCAAACATATAGTATTATAAGTTATATTTATGTATATAATATTAAAATTATAAATTATATAATAGTATTATATTTTAAAATTTGATCATTGGTTAAAATAAATAGTACACACGATTTGATTGTATACGAATCACTATATTGATTGCATAAAATGTAATAAATATATACTTTTTATAATTTTGAGTGATCATGACCAATTAATTAGCTGAAAAATATTACATTTATTATAACAATTGCTTATGTGATTTTAAGAAATTTTACTATGACATAAAAAAAAATTAATTTATTAATAAACAACCGCTTCATCATATAAAAAAAATTGATTTTAGTGTAAAATATAATTTTATGTAACTTTCATATATTGTTTAGTATAAAATATAATTACTAATTTTAATAATAACTATTATAATATTCAATAAAAATATAATTATTAATCAATTAACATAAAATATAATAGTTTTTGTCTTAATTAACCCAAAAAAGTGTAATAAAATATTTTCTTATTAATGAGATTGGGTGTATTAATGCCACATAAATAAAATTTATTAGGTTCTATTTATTAGGTTTTATTAATGATTTGCCACATAGGTAAAATTTATTAGGTTTTATTTATTAGGTAAAATTTATTGCTTAGCTAGCAATTATATATATATAGATTACTTTCATAATAACAACTAGTGCATAGACCGTGCAATACACGGATAAATAATATTAAATAATAATTATAAATTAAATAGTGAGTAAACAATATTAAATAATAATTATAAATTAAAGAAGTGAGGTTGACATGTAATATAATTTACAATATAAATTAAAAAAAAGTTGGATTAACTCATTTGTTCCGATCTTTAAGGCCGGGTGGTCCTATTATATACACCACGTGTCGATTGATTAGGGGGTCAGCAGTTGGGAGGTCAACAAATAAGATGTTGTATCGAATAGTTAAGAACATTATCTTAAAACTTTGAACTAGGAAAAAAAAAATTACGTATAACTTGTTTCAAATCTGACCATTTCCTATAATCGAATTTTATCATCAAAATTGTTGCAAGGTCAGTATATTAAGGTTCCCAAAATCGTAGGATTATTAGTTATGTACTTTTGAGATATTGAAGGCATGAAAATCAAACAATACTATTGTGGATATTGTAGCATTCGTTAAATATAATAGTTTCAAAATCAAGTGTTTTGTTTATTAAGAATCATATTTTATATCAAAGAGATAACTATGTTACCTTAAAACTTTTAAGTAGGAAAAAAAACATATATTTTGTTTCATATCCAACCATCTGGTATAACTGAACTTATCATCAGAATCGTCGCAAGATCAACATATTGAAGTCTCTAAAATTGTACGATTTTTTATTATATATTTTTCAAATATTGAAGGCATGAAAATGAAATAAAATTGTTTGGATATTGTAAATTCATTTTTCGTTAAAAATTACATGTTTAAAAAATGAAGTTCTTTGTTTCTTAATAATTGAATTTTGTATCAAATAGATAAGTATTTTATCTTAAACTTTCAATTAGGAAAAAATGAAATGTATGTGTTGTTTAAATCCAGCCATCTGGTATAAGCAAATTTGATCATCAAAATCGTTGCATGATTGACAGATTGAGGTTCCCAATATTGTATGATTTTTGGTTATGAATATTTGAGATATTGAAGATATGAAAATTAAATAAAACTATTTCATATATTGTATAATCATATTTTGTAAAAGTTG